CTTCATAGACATACCTAATAGTTCAGCCTGTCCACCCATCTATCCACCCATAGATCAATGTTTGCCTTCACTGACAATGCAGAACTGTATGTGCAAAAAGGTTCATGTTTGTTGCATGACCATATTCCTAAAGCACCTCACTTCATGTATATGAAGCAAACACCTAGTTTACCTCCACTGATGTCAGTCCTTTTACCTGTAAGCTCTTGGGGCAAGAATAGACTTTGATTTTCATTCCATTTCTGTCTGTGACAAGGATCATTTAAGAGCTAGAGGAAATCAATGATCATTATTCTAGAATTGCCAGTGTACTCCCTGATGTTTAAAATCTGAGAAAACAAAATAGCCCTGATATTTGTGGGAAGGCTGTTCTCTGGCTCTCTGAGACCAACCACTTCTACCTCTTTGTTTTTATTCCAAGGGTTCTCCGCCAGCCGGTGGGCAGGATTTTCTTCGCAGGCACTGAGACTGCCACACACTGGAGTGGTTACATGGAGGGGGCTGTGCAGGCTGGGGAGAGAGCAGCTCGAGAGGTAAGGCCCAGGGGCACAGAATGTGGGGAAGGACACCTCATGGGCCTGACAGGCAGGTCAAAGATTCTGGAGGTTAACTCCCCAACAGCCCTCATCTGAAAATCAGGGAACACCATTTTAACAGTCATATCAAGTGAAGTGAATACCCTAACCCCAAAGAAAAATTGAAATATCTAGCACAACACTCAAGATAAAGAGATCCCATTGGTCAAAAGATTAGCATGGCTGTAAATTATATGTTAAAAACAAAACAAATAAAACAACCAAGAAACAAATTGTCTTATTTCTTTGGTGCTGCTATAACAGAAATACCACAAGTGGATGGCTTTAACAAACCAAAATATATTTTCTTATAATTTAGGAGACTATACGTTCAAGTTCAGAGAAAATTAGACTAGAAGTCTGAGTTCAGAGTTCTGGCTCTAGGGGAAGAGTAGGCTAGAAGTCCAAGTTTAGAGTGCTGGCTCTAGGGACTGGGTGCATGCTCCTTGACCTTGGGCTTCAGCTCTACCTTCAGGCCCCCTGGAGCAAGCATCTCCTGACTCATGCAGCTGCAGGGGCTGATGAACTCAAGATTGTCAGGCAGTATAGCAGGCTGCTGGCTTCTAAGGCTGACAAATCCAAGGTTGGAAAGTGAGATAGAGGATTGCTGGCTCACAGGCTGTGAAGACAATAATTCCAAGATTGGCAGGCAACACAGCAGGCCACTGATTCAAGTCCAGGAACTGGAGATGATGATGAGTCAAATGCAGGATTCTTTCCATATATACTGGAAGCAGGCCACACACTGAAGGCAACTCCTGTTCATCTGATTAACTGCTCACAGCAGATTCCACCATGAAGGTGATTACACCAGTCCAGTCTCATCATGGAGAATAACTACATCCAGCTGAGAAGCCACTCAAAATCACAGCCCAGTCAAGGTGACACACAAACTTAAATACCACACCAATCAAACCAGTTGCTGTTGAGTTGACTCTGACTCACAGCAACCATGTGTGTGTCAAAGTAGAAAACTGTTCCATAGGGTTTTTAATGACAGGGTTTTCAGAAGTAGATTGCCAGGCTTTTCTTCTGAGGATCCTCTGGGTAGATTAAAATCGCCAACCTTTGTGTTCACAGCTGAGCACATTAACTGTTTGTACCACCAAGGGACACCAGTTGACTGATAACCTAAGTCTAGAGATTCCTAGACACCAATTGACTGATAACCTAGGTCTGTTGTTGTTGTTGTTATGTGCCGTTGAGTCGGCCCCGACTCATAGAGAACCCTCCTTGGGTTGCCGAGGCAGTATCACTGTGGAAGTAGATTGTCCAACCTTCCTTCCGAGGAGTGGCTGGTGGGTTTGAACCGTCTGCCTTCTGGCTAGCAGTCAAGTGCCTTAAGCACTATGCTACCAGAGCTCCTAACCTAGGTCTAGATTATCTAATATGTTTCTATTAGGCCTCAGAATCCATTTATATATTTCCTAGCAATT